ATCATTGAAGCGTTTTGGGGAAACTGAGAGCGTTGGCATTGACTCCTTTGACTTAGAGAACTCACCCGAGGAACAAGATTTTGTGCGAAATATTCGATTCACTGGAGCACGCTACGAAGTTGGTCTGCCGTGGAAAAATGATCATGTGCAAATTGATGACGATTACGAACTCTGTCATAGTAGATTGAGATCATTGCATCGAAAACTGCTTAAGGATCCACAAAATCTTGAAGAATACAATAATGGTATTACTGAACAATTGGCAGCAGGAATAGTCGAAAGGGTTCCGGCATCTGATAAGGATCGTGGTAAAATTCACTATCTTCCCCATCATTGTGTCATACGAAAGGATAAGGTTACTACGAAGCTACGCGTTGTATATGATAGATCTACTACGACGAACTTGCGTAACTTTTCACTAAACGATTGCTTACTGACCGCGCCGAACCTCATTCCACAAATCTTTCATTTGCTCGTCAAATTTCGACAAAACAAGATTGGGCTAGTTTCTGACATTGAGAAAGCATTCTGAATGATTGGAATTGACAAGGAAGATAGAGACATGCTTCGTTTTTTGTGGCTAAGGGATGCTAGGGATTCTCATTTAGAAGTATTAAAGCTAAGGTTTTGTCGATTGGTTTTTGGTCTACGACCTTCGCCAGCAATTCTAGGAGCTTTTATCAACCATCATTTGAAGACACACGAGAAGCAGGAGCCAGAAACTGTTGAACACTTGAAAAATTCTCTGTATGTCGATGATTTTGTGTCCGGTGCTGAAACCGATGAAACCGCTTTGCAAATATACAAGGGAACAAAGCAGTTGATGGCCAAGGTTGGATTCAACTTGCGAAAATGGAACTCGAATACCAGTAACTTAGTGAAGTCTATCGAAGCGTTAGAAGGTAACAAGAATTTGAGCTTGATTAGTGACAAGTCAAGCGTTACTCAAGATGATCAGTCCTTAACAAAGTCGACAATTGCAAACGAGTCACTGCTCACGGAGCCCACTCAAGTCAAAGTACTAGGAATGGTGTGGGATACGGTGGAGGTCACATTTCTATTCAATTTGACTGAAATAATCGAGTACGCCAATTCATTACCTGTCACAAAGCGATCGTTGTTGAAATGGTCATCTAAAATCTTCGATACCTTTGGATTCTTGTCTCCTTTTACGATAAGGCTGAAGATTCTGTTTCAAATCATGTGCTTGGATAGACTGGGGTAGGACTGTGAGCTGCATGGCAATCTACGTGAACAGTGGAACGTTTTATTGTCAGAGTTAAGGTTTCTAAATGATGTTCGTGTACCCAGGTGCTATTATCTACCCCAACCGAAATACTTTACTACACAAGTTCATGGATTCAGTGATGCATCTGAAAGTGCAATTGGTGATGTTGTCTATGTAAGAACAGCCTATGAGAATGGTACCATCGATGTGAAATTAATCGCTTCAAAGACAAAGGTCGCACCAGTGAAAAAGCAAACGATTCCCCAATTAGAGCTGGTGGCAGTGACTGTACTAGCAAAGTTAGTAGAGTCTTTGTTAAAGGCACTCAAGTGGAGTCTGGAAGTTTTTTATTGGGTTGACTCGATGACAGCACTTCACTGGATACGAAGCTGCGGTGCCATGGGAGACTGAAAAATTCATCGCTGAATCTGGAGAGCAAAAATCCTGTATTGCTTCCAAAGGAATCAAGATTTGTGGAGTTATTACTATGCGAGGTTCACCACAATGTGAAGCACAGCGGGATTCGTGGTACACTAACAACCATTAGAGAGCATTTTTGGATAATCCGTGGTCGAGAAGCAGTAAAGAAAATCGTCAGGAATTGTGTCGTTTGTCGTAAAGCCGAAGGTCTTCCTTATGGGGGAACGCTTCCTCCAGATCTTCCTGTTAGAAGAGTGTCGGATGATCCCCCTTTCACAAACGTAGGTTTGGACTTTGCCGGACCGTTGTTCGTACGAGAGAGTTGCGAAAGGAATAATTTGTCGGATAATTCAACAAAGGTGTATATTCTATTGTTTACGTGTGCGTCTACTAGAGCCATTCATCTGGAGCTCACTCCTTCCTTAAGCGTTTCAGCCTTTTTCCGCGCGTTCCGCAGATACGCTAGTCGACGACGAGCACTGCCAGCTCTTCTTATATCCGATAATGCTAAGACTTTTCGAGCTGCATGCTTAGAAATTCGCAAGTTATGTCGTTCTGAGGAAGTGTTACGCTATCTTGCAAACCATCAGATTACATGGCAATTTATCGTCGAAAAGGCCCCTTGGTGGGGAGGCTTCTGAGAACGTTTGATTCGAAGCGTGAAACGTTTGTTGCGAAAGGTAGTTGGTAGAACGAATCTAACCTACGACGAGTTGCATACTATTGTGGTTGAAATCGAGGGCGTAATAAATGCACGACCCCTAACCTACGTGTACGACGATGAAGAAGCTTTATCTCTTCCGCTAAGCCTGTCGCACCTGGTGTATTGAAGGCGAATAACGACCATGCCAAACAGTGAGCACTTTGAAATTCAGAGCACCTATCAATCTTTGACGAGAAAGGCGAAACATCACGAAAATTTGCTGCAACGTTTTACTTTTCAATGGAGAAACGAGTATCTTTTAGCCTTACGAGAGCAATACACTTCAAAATCAAGAGCTAATCAAAATCCCGAAATAGCAGTTGTAGATATCGTCATTATTCGCAACGATCAAACAAAACGTATTATTTGGAAGGTGGCGAAAGTTGAACAATTGTTACAAGGTGGCGATGGAATTACACGAGCTGCACAAGTCAGAGTCCTTCGTGGAGACTCTAGTTGCACTTGTTGCGACGTTCACTCTCATTCACACTTGTTGCGACGTTCTATCAGGCAACTTATTCCAATTGAGGTTCATCAGGAAGAAGACAGTAACGAAAGAGTAGAGAGCGATAAGAACGGCGAAGAAGAACAAGTGCTTCGTCCAACTGATCGACCACAACTCAGCGCGGGAATAGCAGGACAATTGTGAAGATTGCAGAATACAAACAAGTTCTAAACAACTGTGCATTCTTAGATAAAAATAGTTTTGTTTTTTTTGTTTTGTTTGTTGACAACATTTTATTATGTCAACCCTGGGGAGTGTAAGAAACATTAGACTAATAATTATAAATGCACAATAGAAAAGAAAAACATGTCAATCATACTTCAGTAAAATATACATATCGAAGGCGAAGACATCTTGTTTATTCGGTCAAAAAAGATTTGTGAGTATATATTTCGAAAGATCATGAAAATCTACAAATACTATCCATGTCTCTACCTCCCCTTCCGTGTCGTTTTCTGTTTCGCCTTCTATTTCAACATCTTCATCTGTTACTCTTTGTAGCTCTGTTACAACCTCTCTCACAGTTAGTAGCGCTGTTTCGACATTCATTCCTATACGCAAAGATTTTCATCTTAATACGATTTCTGCGACTTTCGAATCTCCCTTCCTCCCTGCTGCTACCAATACCAATACAAATGTCTTCACTGATTCTTTTAGCACTAACACCACTCTGGCCTCTTCCAGTGTATGTACCTCCATCGGCATTTCTTCATCTGTTTCAACCTCTTCTTCCTTTTCCTCAAGCTCCTTCGCCGCTACAACATCTGTGTCAACCATATCTAAAACGATGGCTGCATCTGTCTCTACAGCAACTTCTAGCACAAGTCAGAAATAGGTGTTAGCATTAGAATGGTTGATTTTTTAGGTTCTTAGAAGTTATCAGGTTGTCGCAAAACAAGTTCGATCTTTTGTTTATTAATTTTGTCATCAACGTTGAACACATTCTACAATAATAGACATGATCAAACACACATGACTACTTTCAGCTTTAAAATGTTAAAACTTATTTGGTTCTTTGGCAGCCCGTACATGCCGATGATGCGTATCAATATTTCTTCTGTCATAAATAGTGATTAACGAAGCAAATGGCAATGTCTTGAATTTAAATTGTTTCATGTATAATTAGGAAATGTTGTAGTGTGTGGTTTGGGATGTGTCTTAGGAATGTCGAAGGTGCATAACCGACCCGTGACTCCCGGCTACCTATCTGTCTTTTTTACTAGTGTGGTACCGGGCAAAACAGTTGCTCCACCATTGCCTGGTCCATTCTACGAAGATGTCGTAAGAACTGGCGAGTCTTACATTTGGCCAGTTGACAGAATGTTTGTTGCTGGACCAGATGATTTTATTCACAATATATAACTTCGTAAATCTTCCGCACTTTTTTTCTTTATGGATTTTATTGATTTTGTAAAGAAACTTCCTTGTATATGTATATTATATTAAATTTTCTATTTTTGTGCCTGATCTTCCAGTGGAAATATTTTTGTTTGATATCATTGTATTATAAAAAGAACAGATTTTATATTATGCGCGTAATATCACGTAAGAAGTCCAAATAAAAAATTTCCGAGTCGTGAAATAAGACATTTATAACTACTTTGAACTTCACACTTTTTGTACTGCAGAGGATTTTCTTGTAAGTTATTTCTTAAATTTTTCACACGGTATATCAATGAATGAAAAATAGTGATTTTGATGAAAGAAAAGTGTAGGGTAAGGCAGCGTGCTAAAACGTTTATCCACTGTTTTATAACAGTGGAATGAACATGAGCGGAAAGACTTTACTTTCTTTTACTAAGATGTTTACAAGAATAAAGACGTGGAATTTTTATTCAATTCTTCATATGTTCTTCTTTGAGCTAAATACTTTTTAAGTTTACGTTTATGCCGATGCTTATGTCATGTCCTTTAGAAATCAGCCAATAGTGAAATATTTAATGCCTGATGATATTATTGTGCAGATTTCACTGTTACAATTTACGTTAAATTTCCAAAAACAATAAGTTGAATGCTAGTTGCAACATAGATATATAGTTTATAACCAAATGAAATGAGATGCACTTTCTCACGTAAAAATTGACGTATGAAAAATATCTGTAGTCGCAGCCTAGTGACAGAGCATTGGAAAATACAACAATAGATTAAATGCTAAATATATGTTCTATTTCATAGATCATACACTCATTCTTTCATAAATGCATTAAAAAATATTCCAAAATAAATAGATAAGAAAATAAAATTTGCGATATGCTTAGAACAACTAGAGCTCATTTATTATCTAAAATATTTATGTAATACACGTACGCGGTTTTATTCAAGTGTTGTTCACCTATTAATCCCAAAAATAAGATGATTTAAAATTCTTTCTATGGAGAGGAAAAATAAATTCTGAAAAAAAGCGTCAACTGTTGCGTGAAAAAACACTAAGACGCTAACAGCCAACGAATTATATTCCAGGTGTGTCAAAAAAGTAGACTCTTGGAAAAATTTCTCTAAAATAAGACGCGCATGAGTATTTTAACGTTCTCTGGTACAGCTGGTAATGATTTATTTGCAAATTTGAATAAAGTACAACATGAGATTAAGAAGCCAATTCCAAAGGTAAGTGAAATACGAAAAAGCAAAAAAAATTCAAGTGCTATAAAGATCTTGCGTTGGCCAGCGCTTGCCTCAAATTGCTTGCAATTAAGATAGCTTGCACAACCTCCTCCATATTTTGAATGAAGATAATTAAATTGTCTTTTCAATGAAAATTTTTCGTGCGCAAGGCCTGTTTTAAAGGACTTTTACCAGCAGATATTTCACTGCTATAACATTTTGCAATTTTGAAACTTTCATTTCCAGCTGTATCTCTGTACCGCGCGCGTCTTGTTACGAAGAACTTTTTACCATAATATACTTTTTTTGATACACTCTTACTATACAAACGATATATAGGCAATACACGTTATATAGGCTATGCACACTATACACACTACATACACTGTGTAGGCAATACACGTTAAATAGGCTATGCACACTATACACACTATATACACTGAAGAACTCTTCGGCGGCACCTTTCAACGAAGAAACTCCAATTTGTTGTTCTATATAAACAATAAAAAATATTAATTTATCTACGTAATTACTAAGCACTCCATACAATACTGTATAACTATATATTTTCCGGGGGTAAAATGAATTGTTAAAAATAACAATTGCCAAACATAAAAATTTGAGCCAGGCCAAGAATTATTTAATATAGTTTCGTTTTAAATGATGTTTGAACAAAATCAACCAAAAGTACAGAAATGTACAATACTAAACCATGTTTCTAAAAAATATTTGAAAGTAAACAATGTTACCTCTCGCAAATTGTTGAACTTCTTCTTTCCACTGCATTATCGAGTCGTCCAAGTCTGAATCCTGGACATTAAGTTCGCTTCTTAACTTTACAAAATCGTCCCTGGCAGATGAAAGTTGCCTTTCGGTCTTCGAAATTACCTTGCCTTGCCTTGCGTCATCCAATGGCAGATGGCTCAGGTGAAACATGAACGTATTCCAAGTGCCAGCATTGGCGATCGGTCAACAAGCCAGTTTCTTCCTCAATGATGTTCTTGAGGGTGACAAATGGGCGCCCAATTCTTCTTTTTGCTGAGGGTGTCCATAGGAGTAGCCTACCAGCGGGCTCTTCATGACGACTAACATGGCCCGCAAGAGTCAAACGCCGCTGACGAACCGTTTCAGACACACGAGGAAGCGTACCGTACAGAGATTTGTTGGTAGGACACGCCTATGACATATCTTGGCTTTTCCAAGATATGTCATAGGCGTGTCTAAGCATTCTTGTTTTTGTGCCGTCCTGGCGCTTTTTACGTTTCACATTTAGCGTCCATGAATCTGACCCGTAGAGAAGTATGATTTCAATGCAAGCCTTGAACACTTTAGTCTTTGTTGCCTTCTTGATTGGAGACTTCCAAACTGCCTGAGAAGAATGCAGCGCACTCCATGCCAACGCTATTCTGACAGACATATCATGCTCAGTATCTGAATAACCGCCAAGGTACTTGAAGTCTTCAACACAGTCGTTTTTCGAGCCGTCCGATGCAAACAGGGGACACATTATGAAAAATAGTGAAAGGACACATTATGAAAAACAGTGAAAGGACACATTATGAAAAACAGTGAAAAAGAATTATATTAGCGAAGTAAACGTATTGGGTTCAAACAACACCTATACACAACTATGAACTGTAAATTCATTTCATATTATACACGTACGTAGCACACATTAGAATCATGGACTCACACTACTATAATTTTGAAAATATTGAAGACATATACAACGTGTAACCTTTTTCATTCGAATAACAAGTGATTTTGCCACATTTAAAATTTTTCGCTTGTTCCAACTCAGAAGATGTTCAGTAATGCATTCTTCTTAATACGTACAACCATTAATGTGCACATTAGTTCGTGGACTTAATCGACCAAAAACCCTGAGTGGATATGCAGATCAGAAAATAATACTCACCGGAGGTCGTCATATTTTTAGTAGTCGAGCCAAGTCTTGACAAATACGAATTTATTTGCTCAACTTCTTCGCCAGCAGTTGCTGCCGCACCACTTTGCCATCTTCCGCTCCAAATAACCTAAAAAGTGTGAAAAGAATCATCCATTCAAGACAACCCATTTCAGATTTACGTAACTACGGTTTAGTTACGTGAAATACAGTATTATTACTTCGTCTCATCACATCTTTAATAGGGCATTATTGTCGGCGTATGTGGTATTTAGCTTACGAGTTATTGGGTAAACAATCATATCCTACGTATGTAACGTACCTGACATGACCAACTGTGTGATTTCCCATGCATTATAGACAGTGTTGGTGCAATATTTCTTAAAGCATTTTAATTTTCTTCCGATGTAACATGTAGAGCCCAAGGCCAATATTTGCATATAATATCTTCTCGCATATATTTAACTTTATGTGGTTGTAAAAAATTCATATGCAAGTAGTGAGCATAGCCATAAATCTCTCCTCTGAACATGTTCAAAGTAGCTTGAGCAATCGAGTGCCTGCATCCAGCAACTTCAAGTCCAGTCTCGTCTTGGTTTTTCTTTGATTTGGAGACCATTTTTGCAGCTTTCAAATGGGTGTCACCACAAGAATTATCTTCATTTTATAAAAAATGCTTTAACCTAATAATAGATTACTATCTTTCAATCCTACTTCATAATACATTACCTGAATTGACTTTGAACCAAGACTTTTTAAATGAGAGTCCACAAAACTGTTGTTTGCAATCAATACATCACGATAATAACACTGGACTGGACCCTTGTGGTAAAAGTAAGTTATCAATTTAGAACACAAGCACTCATAAACCCAACAATGCAGGTAAAGAATCAAACATGAGCAGTAGGTCTTTTTCTTGGATTTGTTAAAGTTGGTTCAATTTATTAAAACATAAAAATATCTGAATTGTTTACAAAGGGTAATTCCATTTTTGCAAGTTTGAGAATTTGCCATCCAATATTACAAGCCTTGGTACTTTGCAGAATCTGTACACTTTTTGATTTCCATCAACATGACATGAATGTTGATCAATGTTAAAAGGAGGGCAATTTTTCCATGTCTGCTCATGAAGAAGGTCAATTTCATGTTGGCAATAGCTCCATTCAGCAAACGATTTTCTGAATGTGACTGGATTGATAATATTTTCCTAGTGAAACCAGTTCCACATCAAAGCATAGCACAATTATATACTATTTGTTGATTATGCAAAACCCAACTGTACTAAATATAGTTCTCATACTTCAAACATACACATTATATGAAGCCTACAAAAATTGACATGTGCTTGTTACAAATTTTAAACTAATTTAAAATTCAATAGTATGTACATTGTACTTACCAATGCTGAAAATCTTTCCATCAGATGAAATGGACTGTGTAGGCTTGATATATTGAAAATAACCATCCAACCACACTTCTCAATCACGGAGAGGATTGTTCTCATGGACATCATTATCACATTCTCTACAAATATATCTCAACACACCACATTGTCTGCATCGCAGTACAGCTTCATTTTCATTACATGTACAACACTTCATAGCAGATAAAGGAGGAGCAAATGATGACACAGTGACATTGAATATTTTTCCCCTCATACTTTCCCAATTTTCTTCTTGATTTTCCATTCTTTTTTGCCAAGCAGATGGCCCAGTATCCACTTCTCCAATAACCAACTGAGAGCTTTCAAGAATAGCTTCAAGATCTAAAATGAAAATGAAATGATTTTATGACATAAAGCTTTTTCCTTTTCTATTTTTTTTCTACAATATGATACAAGAGTAGATTGAAGTCTTAAAAGCACAGTCACATGTGTATAAAAATATAAAAAACTATGTATAGATGCAGTGGCTTGGACAGCACAAAAGTTTTGCTTCTGTTATGTAAAGTTGAGATGTAAGAAGTATGATCAACAACCTCTTTTAGTAACAGTCATCACATAACATTTCCTGTGGAACATCATGTAAATCTGACGATGTTGTAGGCATTTCCTCATCTATGATAGTGATAACAACAAGTAACATAAAAATGTAACATACAAGTTACACAAAAATCTAAAATGCTTCTATTTCTTTGATAAAAGTATTATTTCTACAGCACACACCTCTTTGTGTATTTCTATTTCTCGAAGTGCTTTGCTTGGCTTATGAATAATCCGTTCACCACCTTCGCTTCTTTGAAGAACTATATCTCTACTGGCATTTTTCTTCTTAATAGTTTTCTACCACGAACACCTTGATGTGTAATAGCATTAACATTGCTTATTGCAGACAGCAGCTGCTCATCAATCGTTGGTTTACTCAGCCTACTGCGTTTATGAGACATGTGTTTGCATAAATAAGAGGTGAAACCCCGATGTGTTTAATACTTCATACAAAATACTGATACAGCCATACAGGGTAATGTAGAATATCTTCGCTCCTATAACAAAACAAAATGGCGCGCGTTAAGTTTTTTATTTTTAATTTCGGCAACTGGCAAAGGAGCCACTCATGTCACCAGGCCTGTTGTTTGAATAGACGTTTCAAATTGACTTATAGAGTCAATTTGAGGGTATTTTCACAATTAGCGTGTAGAGTTAATTTATAACGAACCAAAGTTTGTCGTCAAAGTTTGGTAACGAACCAAAGTTTGTCGTCAAAGGCAGGGACATTTTAAATATTCGTATTGTTGACAAAACATATCTGGGGTAAAATACAGTCCAATCTTTTTTTGAATCGTCATCCAGCATCCCCCGCACAATAACACGCTAAGGTTGTCCGACCGATGTGAATGATCCTATGAGCTCGTTTTATGGTAATGATGCCTTCCTTAAATTGTTGTGCAAAAAGGAAAGAGATCGCAACACATTTGTGCAGTTTGGTACTGAATTTGAAGATGTTGAAGCTATTCCAGAAAACCTGGATTCACAGACATGCCTGCTTGTGCTATGGATGACAAACAGATGTGCTCTCGATGTACTGCATGCTCAAACATTGAAACTGTAAATGTAAAACAGGTTGTTCAAACTTAAGGTGCTCCCGTAAAAAAACAAACTACCCATGAAGATGACTAGGGATAGCGATATGGAGAAGGAAAATTAAGTCTTAAAACTTTAAAAAATTATTCGTGCGAGTGAGGCATGAGTGATTCGTAGATTTACTTACTATTTATTTTGCTCCAATACCTAGTTTAGTTTAGACAGCTCTTTACCTGATAATATAATCAACTCTATGAACAAAATTTGATACGTTATGCTTCTTTTGAAATTTGATACTATTTCTCGGCAATATTAGTCTTTTTCTGCATACATGCGTTTGCTTATACGCCGACAGTTTTTGAGTACGTCGTGTAACTTCGAGTAAGATTGGTCAAAGATGGTGCTAAACCTAAAAAACAGTAAACTTTGGCCTCACATTATGAAAAAACATCGCGTTTTAGCTTGTGAAAACAAAGATATTTGAAACTAACGCATTCAACTCTACTGATCCCTGATGGAATATTTAAGCATCACGATGGGGCTGATGTAATTTGATTTATATAGCAACATCTTGGCCAAACGGACAACGACCTGTATTTGTTTATTACACTATACCTGAACAGAAGCGATCAAACATGCACCAAAAGTTTTCTTAATATTGGTATTTTTTCACGTGGGTGGAAAAAAGAGTAAAATTTGGTCAAAGTTGCACTTTAATTTATGCCTGTCAGTGTAAGGAGCAAAGGTCGTCAAATGAAAAACGAGACTGCGTTACGCAGTTGTTTTCCCAATACTAGTTCAAACCGGTTTCTTATAAGAAAACCCAATAAAACGGTGCAACCTTGTGCAACGTCACCATACAACGTTTAGTTTAAAGTAGGGATTCTTGTCTACAGAACTGCTTTCTACAACTGTAATTGGCAAACCAAAAGAAAAGTAATTGGTGAGTTAAATGTTTTATTGTTTACTTTACAGCAACATATGTACCAGTGAAAACACTGCCATGCAAAATACTGTATTGAAACAAAGACGAAATGATAAACCAAAAGTCATTTGCATTTTGTCGAATAACCAGTGTTGATGAAAAAAAGTTGTTTAATTCGGGAAAAGGAAATCCTGAGCTATAAATGCTAAATACACAAGTTTTGCCAAATTTGTTTCTTTGATAGGGTAGAAAATCCCATGCACGAAAGAGTAAGATCATTACAAGAAATCATATAAACTAACTTTAACATAAGCTATTTACTAAATCCTGCGGAACAAAAATACAAAACAAAACACAAGAAAACTTTATTTACAGTACGGACAGAAAAATGTCTCGGATATGGAACAATATATTAACTATGGTATTTACTATGTTTACTTTTCTCATTACGAGCGAGCTCCTAGGAGTATCAGCTATGGCCATTGGATCCTGGATGTACATTCAGAAATGAGAAAAGTCAACCAACATCAATGAAAAAAGAACGTAAAACAACGCGTATCGTCATTAAATACGCAAGCGTGCATTTATAAACAAATGCTCAAGTTTGAGTATCGAGTTGCAATAAGAATGTATATTGTTCGATGTTTAGAGCGCACAGCTTATACCTTGCGCGGAACGTTACTAGAAAATAAGACATAGTTTGAAATTTGAATTACCCGCAGAAAACGGTTCGCGTAGTGATTTTCTCCGGAAAATATAACCGGAGACGCTCTCAAATTTGGCACCGAAACATCGGCAACGAATACAACCAATCTCAGGCTCTCGTATAAAAATAAAGTTTCACTTCCACTTTTCTCATTATTAATTTTTGATACTGACTACAACATATCAAGACGAGTAATAAAGCTATACAAAGCTCTGCTCACTACCAAATCCATTGTTAGTCAAAATAAACGCACAGCCATTTTTGATCTTTTACAGTTCATAACAATATAATTTAGGAAATAAAAGATGTTTACTGTGCTTTCACTTATGCAAACCGAGGATACCTTTGGAAGAACTCGGAGCAGATTAGTGCTAGCTCGAGATCTCGTGCACTTGCTCGAGAGTTCTCAAAAACGTCTTTGAGGTTTTCGTAAGCCAGATCAAAAACATTTAAACGATATTTCATAGTTAATAACATATATGATGGTATTTCATAGTTAATATTATAACAATAATGCAAAACCTATCTTTCGTAGATTGTAATTACGGCAACATTTTGAACACAAAATATATTTCCCATGAAATATTAGCATGAAATAGTATATTTGCATTGATGTATAGTCAAAGTTATTTGCATCGTCATAAAGTTACTAACATGAGAAATGCATCGGGAAACATTTCTGTCTGTGCATGTTGTCGTTCAATTTAGTATTACATAAGTTCAACTTTTGCTCTGAAAATGCTTTGATTATCCAAATGACTATCTTGAATGCACATCGTTTTGCCCTCTGAAATGCAATTCCTTGGTATGTATCAAATGAACCGGAAGATATTTTTGTCTCGATTAGTGTACCAGGCGATGCCAAGTACGTTCATATTCATTTTGTAGTGGATTAAAATTTCGACGCAGAAGCTTGCGTGTTTTCTGATTTAGCAAATTAGCTATAAAGCATTAAAAAGGTTTTCTTTGAAAAGACAACATTTGAAAATAACTTTCTGTAGCATTACAAAATTTTCATCGTATAATGCTTGTTTTGAAGCATTCAAACATTTCTGCGACTGAACCTCAAATTTTGGAAAGCTAAATTTGAGCTGGATGCAAACAATCTGAAAACATGTGCTTCCTCTAAAATTTAGATTTAGTAAATTTTAATGAATTTCATTACGAAAGAAGTGTTTGTACAGGCTTATGCAAGCTAAGAGACGTTTGGAAGAAGTCAAGAGCAGATTCGTGGCATTGATGATTGATTTGCATATTCTTTTTATTTGATTTGATAGATTGAGCTCAGATCGGTTTGCACAAGCTAATGTATGCCATCTTAGCTTTAGAGTTTAGATAATTCAAAGCACCAGCCCGATTATTGCAGTTATTTAATAATATCAAATAAAAGTCTTCCAAATAGTTTTCATCAGTCAATTTCTTCAAGGTTATTGAAAAAATTGATTTGTGAGGAATGTGTACAGCTAATACATGTATGGTTGATCTATTTTAACACAAAACATGTCAATTTTTGTTAACTGTAAAAATGTTGGCATTACTCTTGGAAAAAACATATCTTAAATCTTTTTCAGATTTCCCATCAACATGCTGTTGGAAGTGTCTCTCGCTCTGTTTGCAGTATATCTGATATCATTCGTTATTCAGACATGGCTCGAACTCAAAAAATTGCCACACGGTCCGATTCCACTTCCGATCATCGGTAATATGCATCAGTTAGGAACAAGTCCTCCATTTTCTATGTCAGAATTGTGCGATAAGTATCCCAATGTACTTAGGGTGAAAACCCCCCTGGGATACATTGTGTTTCTGAACAGTGTCGAAGCTGCCAGAGAGGCTTTATTGACCAGAAAAACCGACATGGCTGGTCGGCCGAAGGAAATCTTCAGTCCAATAAATGATATTTTACAGCATAGAGATCTCAGTAGTGCAGACTTTGGACCAGCCTTTTCGTTTCGCTCAAATATTTTTAAGAATGCGATACATACTTTTGGAGAAGGAGGGGAAAATATCGAAAAACGCTTACACAGAGCAGTAAGGAATCTGCTCAATAAATTAGACGAACGATTATCGGAGCCTCTTGTTTTGAAAAAAATTTATGGACCGACAATCATGATACAACTGTGGGAGTGGCTTTCATCTGATCAGCTAGTGCACGAAGATGCCAAGACACATAAAATCGCAGAGTTCATCGATCTATGTATGACAATATCACAACAAGGAACGTTCTATCATTTTGTTCCGTTACTTCGTTACTTGCCAACCGAACACCAAAGGAAAATTAACGAAGCAATCAAAATCCGTACTGAGCTGTTTGGAAAAGAATTCGATAATCATAGGAAGACGTATCAAAATGGAGTGGTTCGCGACCTCATTGATGCAATGCTGCTGGCCTTCGATAATAAGGAGAAAAAAGGAGGTAAATTGATTGGCTCAAGTGACGATATTGCATTTCTTTTGCTCGACGTGCTTCTCGGTGGAAGCGATACAACTTCTTCAACTCTTCAATGGTGCATTCTTTATGTTGTTGTTAAGCAAGATGTACAAAGGAAGATTCAGGAAGAGTTGGATAAACACATAGAAAAGGACACTCTGCCGAATGCTGCATGTCTAAAAAATTTAGATTACCTGCACGCTGTTATATGTGAAGTTATGCGTGCCTCGATATTTGTGCCGTTGATACCACACCGCGCAATACGCGACACATCCGTCATGGGTCAGCCTATACCTAGTAACACAATGGTATTTTTGAATATGCTTCGCATCCACCGCGACCCAAAAGCCTGGGATAAGCCAAATGTTTTTGATCCAAGTCGCTTTCTTGATGAAAACGGAAAATTCATTGGATGGAATAAACAACCAGGATTTATGCCATTTGTTTTAGGCAGACGTGCATGTCCCGGACAGGAAATTGGCAAGATTCATGTTTTGACACTTTTATCTAGCTTGCTACACCGTTACAACATAAGGGCTGATGAAAACCAGCCCTGTCCCGATCTTAATGATGTCGTATTTACGGCAACTCGTTGTCCAAGAGACTACAAAGTTGTGCTCACCAGACGAGCGTAGACATTACGACGTTTCTTAAGCTATGGTTTTATGAACGTTAATTCAAATGCACATGAACTCCTAGTTTTAATATCTTTTTTTGATCACTGATCACAGACTTTTTGTATCAACTTTTCCTTCATAATTGTTTTTATCGAAGATAAAAACTGCTAAAAGTGTAAGTAGTAAAATTGAAAAAGAAAAGTTTTTCAAAAAAATTTGTAGTATTCCTGCAAAGATTGCCCAGTCCATAAAAAGACAAACATAAACATTTAACACTTTGTGTAAGTATAGGACATTCATTCGGATAAGCTCATCATTATTTCATACCAGGAAAAAGAACATCCTTTCGAACAAAAAGCGAAGAATGTGTAGATGACGACAGGTAAGCGCAGATTTGCCGAATGTTACATTGAAGCAATAAGCACTTATGATAGTTTTTTCTCTTTACAGAACTTATCTACTAGCAAAGAAAAAAGTCGTACATGTAGACTATAAGACTAACAATACTATTATGTACTGTATTGGCTGAATCGATCATACGCTCATATATAGCTACTGGAAATTATAGACTAGCTATATCAGCATTAAGGTAGAATTGGTATATACCTTTAATGAGACATGCTGTGCTATGTCTTTTTGCAATAAAAGCAATGGTAGAATTTTGTTAGAAAGTTTGGACTAATCTTAGCCATTACAGCCCGCCGAGAAAAGCTCGTAGCACTCTAAACTATCGGACGTCAAAACTTTTGTTATTATCTGAGACGTGAATTGGAAGTGAAGTATTTATTCACATATTGAGCTTTTTTTCTGTCAATTTCTTTTCAAAGGAAATCCGTCAGATGAAACTGAATTATATGGATAGTAGATTCATGGTCATGGTGATATGTTATATACATGAAATTAATGTTTCGTAAATTTCAACATACCTAGAGGGCTGATAGGTTCTAGGCGGTCTAGAGAATGTGACGTCAATACTCAGGCATCTCAACCTGTAGTAAAGCCCGGACGAAGTATAATTACAAGAGAGATGGAGAAAAAGGGGAAATTTCTTGGTATTGTTTGATAAATTGTGGATACATGTTTTGTTTTATGCCTTAGACGACTAACAACTATCAATTTCATCACTCAGATTGAGGTTGATCTTAGTAGAGCCGCTAGCGCAATGATTTGGAGAGGGCCAAATATATATTCATATAGATGCAAGCTTTACTTAATATGGCACATCTAACATATATGAATATTTCCCCTTCCCCGGAATAATCGTTTCGGAGGCGATACTTGTTGGTCTCTATATGTGCAAACATATAGAACCAGCCAGTAACCATATTTAAGTAAACTATATTTAAGTAAACATATTTGTCCAATACATGTATAAATCAGGACTTTGTTCTATTAAAAGTGCACAATGCATAATGATGATGACATTGTTGAAAGTCATGAGAATGTGTTCTTGACCAAAATAAATTTGAGATTAGTGAAAATAAAACATTTAGGTCTATGTGTTGATATGCAAGCATTAATTAACTATTTAATTAGTAATGAATTAGTCTTAATTGAAGATGCAGTGACGTCTCTTAACGATTTTTTAGAGACAAGAGAAGTTAAGCTCACGAAGACTTTTCATGTTTTTCCAAGACAAATTTCTCATGATTTTACGTTACACCTAATTCGTTCGTTTTAGAAAAACAAAATATATAGTTCAATGTTTTTAACGGAGGAATTTAATATCATTTGAATCGAAAAAATATTATATAAACGGGATTTATGCAAACTATTACCAATTGTTGAATTGGATTTAATAATGGATAACATACAAAATGATACATCTATTTGTCACAATACCCTTGGCAATTTCTATGCGTACTTTAGCGATGTTTTTATATCATCTCGTTAAAAAATTTAAAGCATGCATGGTAGATAGTCGTAATTAGGATATTTCCGTATTTTTACAAGTGTCTTTTTTTATCAATCGTAAAGAATCAAAGCCTATTTCAATAATATTTGCTCTTCGTGTCATTTGCGTTTAAGAACAGTAACCAAGTAATCTTTTGGACGTGCAGTTGCTCCCACAACAGGATCATTTAGTTTAGGCACCTCTTGATTTTCAGCTAACGTAAAATGGTAGCGATACAGAAGACAGGCAAGTATCATTGTCACCTGAAGTTTGCCAAGCTCCTTTCCCGGACAGCCACGTCGTCCCATACCAAACGGCATGAACGCCTCGTGCTTATTCCATCCAACAAATTCGCCATTTTCGTCCAGAAAACGCTCAGGACGAAACGTTTTTGGATCATCCCAGTTAAGAGGATCATTGTTGATACAATATTGGTTTACAAACACCGTCATGTGTTTAGGTATGTTGTAGCCCATAACATTAGTATCACGTACGGTACGATGTGGCGGGAAAATAGGAAGATTTGTAGACGAACGAAAGACTTCACAAAGAAAAGCATTCAAATAATGGAATTTTTTTAATTGTAAAGTATTTGGCATGTTCTCGTTTTCCATATATCTATCCAACTCATCATGTATTTTGTTTTGCACATCTTCCTTTAGGACCAGGTGTAAGACACACCATTTTAAAACATTGACACTACTATCAGAGCCTGCAGTCATCACGTCAATCATCAAGAACATTACGTCATCAATTGAACCGGAGATATTTTTGCTTTCATTCTCTTCATTCATGTAAGACAGTATCATTGCATCAGTGAGGTCACGAACCACTCCATCTTGGAATGTAGCTCTATGGTGATCTAAGACCGTTCCGAACAAATCATCCCTGGCTTTAAGCACATCGTTGAGACATTTTTTGAATTTAGTCGGTAAATGACGCATTATGGGGAAAAGCTGATAATAGCTTCCTTGGCGTCCCAAAAAATTACATTTGTCGATGAAATCGAGGATTTTCTTCATTTTATCATCCTCATACGTTATTCGTTCAGAAGAAAGCCATTCCCACATAAGCGCAAAGGTTGAACTTTCAACAACTTTTTTTAAGTTTACGTTTTCTCCGACAAGCTCGTCTAGTCTTGCAAATATCAACGAAACCATGTCGTGGAAACGCTTTTCAAGTATTTTGGTTTGATCACCAAATAAATGCAGAGCGCTTTTAAAAACCTTCGAGCGAAATGTAAAAGTTGGTCCGAAATCCGTAGTAGCGATATCTCTTTCACCTAGAATGACATTTATTGGATAAAACTGCTCAATTGGTCTACCAGCAAAGTCAGTTTTTCTCGTCACGAAGGCCTCTCGAGCAGCTTCTGCACTGTTAAGAAATAGACAGTAACCAAAGGGGAACTTTAGCCTCAGTACGTTCGGATATTTCTTGCAAAGTGCCGCTGTGGAAAATGGAGGATTATTTCCCAGTTGATGCAAATTTCCAATGAATGGGAGTGGTATCGGACCCGGTGGTAGTTTTCTAATTTCTAGCCAAGTTTGAATGACGTAAGATATCAAATAAATGACGACTAGGGACAGCAATAGTTCAAACAGCATCTTGACGGCTGACCTAAAAAATTGATGAATTTTAATTTTCTTTTTCACCATCTATCTAAAATAATAACACTGGAAACATTTTCAGAGGGTGTAAGAGAAGAGCCATTTTAATACTGAATAAATGACAAGTGGTAGCCTGCTTTGTAAATCGAAAATGAAACTCAAAAAAAAAGCGTATGGACTTAAGAATAATACTCTTTCATGATGCATCGAGATTGAGAACGACCTTCTCTTAACGAAGGGTGTATCAAATATTCAGAACTGTAGCCATAAATAATGTGCAGAGCGGAAAGCCAAAAGCGAATTACAAAAAGGAAAGATGCACAAATGACTTTATTAAAGGCATATAAAAGAATGATATCGACCAACAAGATAAAAACAACAAATTGGCAGGAGTAGATTAACATTAGAAGGTGCTATGTTGCACGGGCGAATACGGTATTCATTAGCACATTTCGTACGAAAGTTTTGACTATGACAATCAAGAAATCCACCAAAATGACGTAGCTATTTCGTGCTCGTAGTCCTAGTTGTACTCGTTGCCAAAGCTTGCTAGAACAAACTGTTACAGTCAACACCAGCGAAAAAGGAATGTTTAAACTTATTTTGATTTTTTGACGTAAGGACGTTTGCTTTGTTAGATTACATATAATATATACGTGCAGTCCTTTAGTTTTTATCGACTACGTTCTTTTGCAACTAGTACGCAAAAAGAAACACACAATTGTTACACTTTTGCTAACGTAACATATTAGTAGCGTAGCAAGGATTTTCTGACGAGAGGGGCCAATCCAAAGGGAAGGGGGACATTACTGTATTCTGAACAATTAAATATAAGTAATTTAATTCAACACCCTGTAATATATGCTTCTATTTAAAACCTTGTGTATATAAATTAACTCAAATAATCTGAAGATGTCTTAAGTTAAAGACGAACGTTATTAATAAATCCTTCTCTAATTTTATTATTGTGATGGCTTTTTTAAAAGTCTTATGTAGGACTAATTGCGTTGTTACGGCAACTATGTCTCATTTTCTTTTACACTTTTATCGTTTTTAAGGAATTGACCTAATCTTTGTATGGTATATTGACTTTTTCTGATTTTTCGCCTGATCATTGTTATTCATTCAAAAATGAAGAAGCATTACGTTTAACATTGAAGGAATTGTATAAATAACTTTTTGAGATATACGAGAACTTTGGCTACACAAAAACTTATTTGTAGATTTGTTCTATTTTGCGTATGTTATAATTTTTACATGTTTGTAGATATAGATCGTCCAGGTTAGTATAGTCCTGAGAAGGACTGTTTTTGTTGTTGTTAACTGACGTCTCGACAACCTTACCGGTAGTCATCTCCAGAGTCAAATCACTGATCTGATAATAGACTGGATGTAGCTTCTATAGGTAGCAAAAGTGAAGCCTAATTATATATGCAAAATGCACTTCCGGGTACCACAAGAAATACAAATTACTATAGAAATGTATGGCGGATAACTTTTACATACAAGGATTTTCGAATATTTAAGGCCTTTCGTGACCTTTTACTTATCTCAAACATCTGGCATGGATAAAACAAGCTGTGTTAATCAATTTGACATCAAAATGATACCAATATCTGCAAAATATCGGCGTTCAATTGAAAATTGCGCGTGCAAGAATCGAATTTGCCCTATCGTTGCGAAGGCAAGATAATTCACAGCTCATTTTCCAAGTTCAGAAGCAGTTATTATCTGGAATGAGTTCCGATGCTTAAAAAAATTCTTTTTGTACCTTTCTTTTATCATTTTTTATTATCTAGACATTGTTGTATGTTACTTTTGCCGTGAATTCATTAGCAGGGTACTGTTGTTGTAGGAACAAGACAAATTTACTAAGCTTTCTTCCTCACTTTATTCTTATTTTCATTTCCGTTTTTATTTTACAGAGATAATTTAATCACCACGCTTTGCTAATACATTTGGACATGGCCTTCATCAATGAGTGAGTATAGTTGTTATTGACATAACATGTGCATCAATTGCATTGTATACTAAGATTCAGCAACAGAAATTGTATTCCCGTGAAATAAACTACCATCAGAAGCTGAAAACACCCTCCTGCCTTGTTTCATGTTGATATAACGATAGCTGTTGGTTTGAAACAAATTACTTCTGTAGACAAAATATATACTGTGATGATTATCAAGATTATAGTAGTGCACACTGCTTTTCCATTGTTTCTGAATTTAAAGTGATTGCAATACCATACATGGCTAATTTTATAGGCAGATGCTGCCAAAGAAAACCACCTGCCCTACTTATTAAGAAGCTGTTGGTTGAAAAAAATTATTAAAGTGAATCTGCTTTCCTGTCTTTAAAAGACATGAGTACTTTGATTCAAACCAACAGCTATTGTTATTCAAGTATGCAATAAAACAGAAAGGTGCTTTTAACTTCAGATGGCAGTTTACCACATGGGAATACAATTCCTGATGCTACGGTATAGACTGCAATTGATAAAAATGTTGGATACTTCTGTCAATAACAACCATACTTACTCATGGCTATATACAAATGCTACAGCAAGGTGTGGTGATTGTGTTATTTTTATAAAATAAAAACAGAAATGAAAATAAGAATAAAGAGAGAAAGAAAGCTTAGTAAATTTGTCTTGTTCCTACAACAACAGTACCCAGTTAAAGAAGTCACGGCAAAAGTTACGTAAAACAATGTCTAGATAATAAAGAATGATAAAAGAAAGGTACAAAACGAATTTTTTAAGCATCGAAACTCATTCTAGATCATAACTGCCTCTGAACTTGGAAAATGAGCTGTGAATTATCTTGCCTTTGCAACGATGGGCCAAATTCGATTCTTGCACGCGCAATTTTCAATTGAACACGAGCGCCGATATTTTGCAGATATTGGTATCATTTTGATGTCAAATTGATTAACATAACTTGTTTTATACATGACAGATGTTTGAGATTAGTAAAAGGTCACGAAATGCCTTAAATATTCGAAAATTCTTGTATGTAAACGTTATCCTCCATACATTTCTATAGTAATTTGTATTTCTTGTGGTACCCGGAAGTGCATTTTGCATATATAATTAGGCTTCACTTTTGCTACCTATAGAAGCTATATCCAGTCTATTATCAGATCAGTGAGTCAAATGAGGAGTAAACGTCAGGTTAGCCGTATTTGTTATCTGGTTCTTACGTCATTGTATTGTGTGTACAGGAAGTGTGCGAGTGTCAATTGTGTAATGTCATTGTGAATTTGTGTGAAGTGTAATGTTTTTAGTTGATTGTTTGTTTGTATTGTGAATAAGTCGTTTGTAAGGTGCCGGTAATTGCTGTGATCTGTTAAGGGGGGTTTGTTCCAAGTTGGTATACCAACTTTCTAATGTAAGCCGTTGTCTATAGCCAGTACTGTAAGTAATGCATTTTGCCGAGTCCCAGTCAATGTTGTGCTTTGTGATTCGGTGATGTCCGGCAATGTAATTAGTTTTGTCTTGTTTATTAGTAGCTCGTTTGTGTTCAGTAAGTGTTATGTTTATGTTCCTGCCAGTTTCCCGATATAGGAGGCGTGGCAGTCGGAGCAGTTTATTTTGTAAACTGCACCATGTCGTTCATTGGGTTGTTCTTTGTCCTTTATGTTCGTTAGTACTTGTCGTAACGTTGTGATTGGTTTATGTGCGACACGTATGTTGTATGGTCGTAAGATACGCGAGATAGTTTTAGACGTACCTTTGATGTAAGGAATCTTTGCTGTTGTCACTGAGTTGTTTGTTTCGTTGGGTTCGTTGGGTTTGTAAGTGTTGCGTTTGATAAAGTCAGAGTTATAGTTGTTTTTTTTTGTCAAAAACACGTTTGAGATAGTTGTTTTCGTTGTGTAGAGCGTCCGGTGAATTACATATGATTTGTGCACGTCTTGACGTCTTGTTAATGTTCTGATTGTGATGGCTTTGTGTGATGTAGGGCTTTAAGATGATTGGTCTAGTAGCCGGTCAGTATGTGTTGGCTTGCGATAAACTGTTGTTCGTAGTTTTTGATTGTCATGTTTTACCAAACAGTCGAGAAAAGGAAGAGTTCCGTTTTCTTCGACATCTTTGGTAAATTGTATGTGGCTGTTCTTTTTGTTGATGTGAGTGTGAAAGTCATCAATCTCGTCTGCATGTAGTGCTGTGATTGTGTCATCTACGTAGCGGAACCAAAAAGATAGTGCATGTTTGTAAGTCGTGAGCGCCCGTTCCTCTATAGATTGCATTACAATTTCAGCAACTACAACAGAAACAGGTGAGGCCATTGCTGTTCCATGTAATTGTTGTAGTGTGTACCTTTGTACTGGAAGTAAGTCGAGGTGAGGCAGAGCTCCAGTAGCTCCATAATATCTTCTGTCGGTAATGGCAGTACGTCCGTGGTGTTTGTACCTCGACTTACTTTACACACTACAACTAAAAACATCACACCTAAATCACACATCACAACTAAAAATATTTCACTTCACACTAATTCACAATCACAATACACATTTCCTGTACACACAATACAATGACGTAAGAACCAGATAACAAATACGGCTAACCTGACGTTTACTCCTCATTTGATTCTGAAGATGACTACCGCTAAGTTTGTCGAAACGTCAGTCAACAACAACGAAAACAGTCCTTCTCAGGCTATAACAACCTGGACGATCTACATTTACAAACATGTAATGACCGAAATGTCGCTTGCGAGCTCGTCTTTGCCAAGCATTTATAATTTATCCATAAATTTTTCCCCCTCTTGAAAAAATTCACAGTTTGGACAGCAGCATTCATGTCAATATATGAATTTGTAAAAGATTTCCATAAATTCCATATGATTGTAGTTTAGTTTCTATCATGCTTTAGAAAATTACTATGAAACGATCAAACATTCAATTCAGAGAGTGAGCTTGACTATGATAGTTCAGTTGGCTATCAGTCGAAATCGGTCAAACCAATCATAGTAAGACAAAAATTTAAACGAACGAATTACACGATAGCAGTTGGACTTCCTTATAGGTCCGGCCACCCCGCTTATCAGTCAGGCAGTTAATGTAGTTCTAGATATGTTTTTATCTACTGAGGTGATATTCGTATAAGTTTACTAAGGGTATAAGTTTAAGGGTATAAGCTCTGGTATAAGTTTACTATTCGTTTACTAAGGTGATATTCGTATAAGTTTTCATACATAAAACAGAATTTTGACGATGAAATCGAAACGATTACAGAACGAAAATTTAATGAAAAAAAAATGCAATCTTTAAATTTGATAAATAATTTTTGAACTATAAACATATGTCGCGTAACTGGCTTGACATACCCTAGATCCGCCCCTGGTTGGTATGAGGTATTGTTATAATTTTTGTTGTAATCAGCACCTATACGAACTTTAAACGCAACTCACCGAAGGAAAAAGGAAAAAATTATCAATAAAGTCAGTGCAGACAGGCGTTCATGCGTCGAATAGAATTTAACTCTCGTAGTTTACTCACAACAAAGACTGGAACGAGATAAAGCGAAGACGTCGTGTAATAATTGCATTCGACGCATGCAAAGTTTGACGTTTGGAATGCACTGTCAAATTTTGCTTTTTAGTCGTATTAAATTGCTAATTTTATTCGACACATGCAAAATTCGACGTTTGAAACAAGCCTTAGTAATTGTAGGGAGCCTCCTTAAAATGAGCTTATGTTTTTTATTTTACTGCATTGAATTGTGCGTGACCATGTCTATGCGATCTCGATGGACTCTGGACTTTATAATGACGGTATTGTTTTCTACCTTTCACTACCAGGCTTGAGAAAGCAAAAGCAAATTACGGTAATTAATGGAAATGGTTTATATAAAATTGGGAGATTCTTAGATATTAGCGAATTGTCAAGACTTCAATGTTTGCTCACATTTTCAAAATCAAGCAAAATGGAATAACCACGATGACGACAGTACACATAAGTACTTCTGTGTGAATTGCACAATTTAATTGACGGATCAACCATAAGCCAAGACTTAGCAGCTGTTCGGGGGACTGTATTCAAAATGATCATTGAATTTTGTCATTGTGAAAATGAATGGCCCAAAACCTTTAGAGTGAAGAAAAAGGGGCCTTCACAGACTTAGACCACACATGGCCTCCACTTATTTTAATTAATCGGGCTCTGGTTACGAATGTCGTACAAAGAGTATTATCAAATGTGCAATGTCCCCAGAGCGTAAAACTGTGCCGATAAAATAATCCAAAGTAGTAAAATGTAGTGATATCGAGCAAAATAATTATTATGAAAGCTACTTACTGTTTGTTTGCCACTATACGATTGATTGTGTTACACGGCACTCGACAAATACTTTTAACCAAAGAACTGCAATGGAATAGATTTTATTGTTGTATAGCAATTCTCAGGCATCCATTTTTCCCACTGTTTCATTGGTCGAGAGTGTGTCACGTGCGAGTGGAGAAATTTAGCTGTTTCCGACATTTAGATAAAACATTATCTACGTGTAGATTATAAAAATTCACCTTTATGAACCGTTATGAATACATGAAATTGCACCTTTTCCCGACGTTGGTCAACATCAGATCTCGTTCAAAACAGCGCGGGAATTTTCCAAAATGTTTTTGCTACTATATTTGCTGCCACGCATCAGCGTGGCAGCACACTAATCTTGACAAGTCTCGGCCCATTCCTCTACTCGACCTATATAGAGGTAAAATCTCGATTTGTGTCTGTCTGTTAACATTTCCGGGGGGGATTTTTACGGAATGAGGGGGGAAGAACAATCACAATAAGGTAGAACCTTTCGGAACTCCTGTCAGTTTCTCTTTGATTTTAAATGTCTGGAATCCGAATAGATATGCGGCCTAAACAACGTTATACAGTAGATACCAAAATCGAGTGATTACCGACATCAATTACACATATCTCGTTTGGCGAAAAACACATGAAATCGATTCACCGTGCCGTATTTAGCCAGCTCGGTTCACATTTTTTATCTTGCGCTCTATGGTCAGACGGTGAGCAAAATATAGTGTAAGCATGTATTTATTTTCGTTCGAGCTTTTACTATTACTGGAAATATCGGTGTGGATTTAACAAAACGTCAAAAATAATTTAAATGCATGGTGCGAGTTCAACCATGAAATATGAATTATGAATATGATGAAACGTTTGCTCTTTGCGATAACTATACATCATTTTATCGCAGTCGCACAGAATCATCGGAAAAAAGGTTCTATCAAAATGTTATAAAGGAAATAATGGAAACAAAACTACAGTTTTATAATATAGTCCGTTTCTACGTTTGTAAACATGCGGACGATTGTGTTCGGTTGAGTAAACAACGTATCATACTTTTAATCAAAAAGCATTTTAAAAACTCAAAAGAATCAAAACAATCAAGACATTTAAAAGAATCAAAAAAATGTTTTCATTCAAAATGGCAAGGAATTTATCTTTTAATTTTATGATGAAATCGTATGACTGACGAGAATCGATTGAGCATTGAAGCACTCACCTCCATATAAGGTGAACTATGCGTCGTTTGTGCATGCCGATTGGATAGAAATTGGAATGCTATGATTAAACGATCGTGACTAAAACACCACACGAGTACATACGAGTACATACGAGTAACATACGAGTACATACGAGTGACATACGACTATTTTCTGGTCAACAAATGAGAAACAACACAATTTCTTCAATACATTGATATTTGCGTTTATTTTTCCTTGTATTTGTGTGGACTTTGGGGCAACCATTTGATGGATTTAAATGCTGAAAAGGTATTTTACTTTTATACTACATTCATTTGTATGTTTTAGTTGAATTTGTTATAGATATTTTGTCGATGCGATTTGCCAGTATTTGAGCGCTTTTTGAAACACTTTCACCTAGGAAATACATATTTATGAAAGCGATAAAATAAACAACGTATAAATAATGCTTTCAAAACGTGCTACATGAAATAAATGTACATTATATATATTTGAATTAAATGAGAGTTGCACTGTTACGTATAGTCCTGAGACGGACTGTTTTTGTTGTTGTTGACTGACGTTTCGACAACCTTAGCGGTAGTCATCTTCAGAGTCAAAATGAATGTATAATCTTGTGTCATTGAACCAATGACTTACGAGCGATTAACAAGCTTGAAATCATCAGCCAATTTACAATACAGGATTGAAGAGGAAAACCGCTTAGATAGTTTAGCACAGACTTCTTATAGCAATGCTTTTTAATGAACAAATTTTACAGCTACTTTATTTAATGTGTAATCAGTCCTATACAACAAATCAATTTCATGGCCATAATCACTGTATGTATAATGTATGTAAATAAGATCATCAGCAAATACGATAAAGGTAAGTTATTTTTTCAGGCTTATTACATTGCCTTCTCATATTCCCCTTTTTATGATAATGCAACAGTTTTTAAATATTATCTTTTTTTTGTAGATTTCTACATCTGGGTTATTAATTGAAGAATCAAGAACAGACTTTCAAAATACTACGATTTACGCTTTCAATAATGGAAATGCTATGAATAATGGCTGCAACGACTGTACCATTCAAGTTTGTATATGTATAAAAGTGATTCCTCGCTAAAACAACTGAGTAACATGAATCCAGGTGAAAACATATGATATACTAACAAAGAAGCACAGGGAGACTTAAGAGATACATATATGACACCATATAACGATTTGTATTGATGGATGTGTTGATCTTGTGCTGTTGGCAACCAAGTGAATGAAATTCTGAAAATTTCATTTAAGCTCAGTTAACATGATTTAATTGTTATTGGCGAGTTCTAAATGACAATATGCAAATTTTTGTAAAATGAGCTTTGAAAACTGTTCATCCAATTATTCCATTTTGAAATTAGCATAATTATACATACATACAGTGTTACTTCTTGCATCTACTTCTATAAATTGATTTATATGACAATTTGAAAATAAAAGATGACACAATTAGCTTGTCTTTATGCAATGACAAAGTATACAAGTTGTTGCGGTTTCTTGCTGTATTTTTATTTTTACCATTCATTATTGTATTGTTTATGGCAGATGATAAATGATGGAAAACACGCAATAGCAGTTTCCAAACTGTTTTACCTTACTTGGTGGAGGGGCAGCACTTCCCTTGCGATAGTAACTCCTAGTATAAAGCTACTGTTTTGGAAAAGTAAATATTTCGTTTATTTACGTTGTGGCCAATCTTCTCTTTGCAATGGCGTCACCAGGATTTTGCGAGTGGGGAGGGAGTCACAAGCTAAAAACTAAATTTCCGTGGGAGCACATCAAAACTTTTCCTACTTCAGTGGAAAACGAAATTGTTCTAAAAATTGCTTCAGCAGTGTAAAGTTTTTCAAACATCAACCACAAAGTAAAGACTTTGCATTTTTTATCTTCCCAGTTAAACCTGTTCTGATTTGTACATTCTTCTTGCTGTAAAGTTACGTCTGTTAATTATTGATTCTGATCAAACTTTTTCATATAATTATACACACAGATGTTTCAATTTGTACTCCATATGGCAGCTATGAGGTCAGGTGAAAACGCTCAATAGGTAATGGCATTGTTTTTGAATGCAATTTAGAATAATCATGGTCGTGTCTATTTACTATAGATCGGGAAAAACAAATGTAAATATATTCAGCAAAAATGAGCTCCAGTAATATAATTTGACGTACTCTAGATCGGCCACTGGTGCAACTGGTGCAACTGTGCAACTAATTTATATTGAAATGGCTATTTTGGTCAGATGACTAATAATGGTGGGGTCAGCTTGCAACTTTGGTTCGTGCTTTATATATTTCAGATCATTTGCATTGTTTTTATCTCTTCGGAAATCTATTGCTTATACAGCTAAATATTTACATAACAAGAAGAAACCTGCAGCTGGCTACACCACTAACGACAATGTCTGCAAAACTGTGAAGTATTTCTCTTTATACATTCTTATATTTATGTAATCTGTTGATTGTTTAAGGAATAGAAAACACTTTCTGTGTTTTTATAGAGATTTTGCACAAGCATACTATTATTCTATTACAAATGCTTTAATTTGACTGGCTACTTAATTTACTCGCTGAATAACTATTGATTTTCAAGTGATTATTTTCCATTTCATATTAATATGTTTCGGGTATTCATGGTCAGGGGGTGCTACGACAAGAAGATCATTCTCTTCCTCTTATCTAAATGTTTTATTTCATTTCTTTCATATTTAGCTAATATTTAGCTCATTTGACATGCACTCTGACGATGCAAAATAAGGCCAATACGCTAATAGTAAATAGCAGCATGTATTTCACGTTTAAGATTATAAAAGAATGTGTGTCATCCAAGATGCATTGCGCGTTAATAACAGTGGGACTGCCACTTTGTGAGTCAAAAAATGACGGATTTTGTTATTGTAGTCGAAGCAATAGACAAGCGATAAAAATTAATGTAAAATAGAATTTTCCATCAATGTTTTATTTTTGCTAACTTTTCAGATAAATTAGACGATGTACTGAAAAAATTTAATTCAGTTTGCCGCAAGCTCAAAAACTAACGATTCAAATACAAACAAAAGTGCGCAATGCATCTTGTTTGACACACATTCTTCACCAGTTACGACCCGTTGCGGGCTCAGATCTGTAAACATTAATAGAAGAAATTATGAAGGTGAATTGTCACTATAAAGAACATGACTAAAAATATTCAAAGTAAGGTTTTTCAACATGCAGCATCATCTCGTGCGTGTTGAATGAGCGTTTGCACGGTCTACACCAAATCAGCATCGTTTGGTGACAATGACGTTAAAGTCTTTAGGAGTCGGTGTGCCTTTTCGAACAAATTCGGTTGTCTTTGGTCGTGGTTGATTTTCATCGAGCTTAATACTGTAACGATGGAGGAGACATGCAAGCGTAATGAGGACTTGACACTTACCAAGATCTTTGCCTGGACAAGCACGTCTTCCTAGACCAAATGGCAAAAACGCTGGGTGCGTATTCCATCCAACGAACTTGCCATTTTCATCTTGAAACCGCTCGGGACGAAACACGTCAGGATTTTTCCAAGCAATTGGGTCATGTTTGACGCCATGATTGTTTACAAGTACTGTCGTGTTTTTAGGTATTTTGTAGCCCATTATGCTTGTGTCACGAATTGTGCGATGCGGCGCAAGTAACGGAGCCGTTCCGCTTTTGCGCATAACCTCACAGACAACAGCATTGAAGTAATGGCACTTTGTGATGTCTTCCATACTGGGAAAGCTGTCTTTTTCAAAACATCTATCAAACTCTTCCTGCATTTTTGTTTGTATTTCTTTACTGAGCACTATATGTAGAATAAACCAAGCGATGGCTGCGTTACTTGTATCAACTCCTGCAATCATTACATCCATCATTAGAAACATGATATCTTTGTATTGCCCAATATGCTTCCCATCGTCTTCTTCTTTAAAGAACGCCGACAGCATCGCATCGGTAATATCGCGGACAACACCGCTTTGGTATGTCCTCTTATGATAATCAAGAACTCCTCCGAATAACTCGTCGCGGGCTTTAATTATGGTGTTTATCTTTCTTTTGTATTCCGAGGGTAAAACACGTAGCAACGGAATAAATTGATAAACGCTTCCTACGCTGGTCAACTCAGCAACGTCATCGATAAATTTAACGACTTTACGTGACCTTGCAGCATCGTTTGTTACCTGCTCAGATGAAAGCCACTCCCACAGTTGTGCTACGTTGGTAGTAAATATGAACGTCATCAAATTAAACGGTTTGTTCAGTTTCTTATTTAAATCGGCGAAAAGCATACTAATTGTTTTATGCAATCGCCTCTCGACAATTTTGGGTCCTTCATTAAACAAGTGCATTGATTTGTTGAAAACTCTCGAGCGAAACGTAAAGGTTTTTCCGTAATCAGTTGTCAGAATATCTTTATTATCCAATATAACAGTTAATGGGTAAAGTTGCTCGCTTGGCCTTCCTGCAAAATCAGTCTTTCTAGTCAGTAAAGCCTCTCGCGCAGCTTCTGAGCTGTTCACGAAAACAATTTTGCCTATAGGAGTGCTTACAGTAAGGACATCAGGATACTTTTTGCACAGTTCCAGCATGGTGAAGGGGGGAAATGTTCCTATCTGATGCATGCTCCCAATAATAGGCAACGGAAATGGACCGGGTGGAAATTTTCTTTTGTCGAGAAAAGTTTGAATGATGAAACTCAACAAATATATTACAAACAGAGAGAGGGAAACCTCGAGCAACATCTTGAAATATAACCTGCAAATATAATAATCAAAGTTAACAACAATGCAGCTAATTTCATGAATATGGTATTAAGCAATTACTTAAGGGCTACCGTGTTTGGATGGCCTCATCTTGGAAATAAGCAAGAGTTAGAAAAGCGTGCAAAACACAGGCCGAAGGTGAATGGAATACACCATTTTTTTTATCAACATGGCGAATTCCTTTAGTCCTCCATGAAAGTTTTTTTGTATTGCATGGGTGTATCACTGTCAAGGTTTGTGTGATAAGTTAAACTTAAAATGATGTCATTATGTTAGCGTAATTTTTTTCTTTTCTGCTCCATCTCCTCTTCTTTGTTGCTTTGTCATAATTTTTATCTCTTAAGTGGGCTAGCGATGGAAATTATTTCATTCCACCTTCCTATGATCTCCTCTGCTACTGCCCTGTAGCGTAGCCAGGATTTCTGTCAAATGTGCCAGTCAAAAAAGAAGCGGGCGATGTCTGTCATTTAAAAAATATAATATATATGTGAAACATAGCATTTTGGGGAAGCCAAGAAATTTGCTAGGGGGAGCGACTGGCTCCTAAGCCCTTCTGCTGTCTACGTCCCTACTACTGCCTAGATCTTGGCAAGCGGGCTAGTCCGCTTTCTCATATCAACACAAAGTAAATTTTGATACTAAACTAATAGCAAAGAAAGATCATACATAGGTGAGATGTCTCGCTGACTGGGCTCATGTGAACAAACACAAGATTATCGAATGCAAATTGCTTGAAAGATTTTTCATCAGAGTATATTTGAAATAGTCTTTGTTAACATTTGAAAGCAATTGTCTCTTCAAACTTTTGGCAGGAATGAAAAACCAAGTTAGACCATTTGGCATTTACCACATAAAACGAAGCAATCATGGATAAAAAATAATCAACACTTATAACAAAACAGTAAACATTTAACGAAATGTCAATTTTATTGGCTCAGAAACATTGCACCAAACAAACTTTGTAAAGCAAATACCAAACGTTTTGTAAAACAAAAAAACGACGAAAAAACATGTACTAAGAAGAGTCTAACGAAAAAGATAGAATTTCAAAACCATTGATAAGAATTTCAAATGATAGAATTTCAAACCATTTATTTTTACCGATGAAAACTAAAGGAATGAAGACAAAGCAACAAGGACGGGAAAAGAAAGAAAGGTCCGTTTCAGGTCAAACAATGCCATGCGATAAAACTTTTATCAACCTTGCGCCACGGACTCGGTCTGTACAAAAAGAGTTTGTTCCGGTATTTCTCCTTAAAGTGCTTATATTACGAATTTTAGCCCCCCTTTTTTATGAGCTTAATTGAAAATTTGGATTATTTGAAGAACTATGACATGTCGCTGGACTTAAACAGATAAATATAAGTTCCTTAATTTTGCCTCCAAAGTCGGGTACTATTTGGGAATTTTTTACGACGCCATATTGATACTTGTGACGTAGATAGTTGAACACGTCTGTTTCCGTCAATATAATATTATATTGTTTTTCTTGTCTTAAAACAAATAATGACAGTATTTTCAATAAAATATTAAAAAAAAGTTTTCCGGAAAGTATGGCCTCAAATCAGGGCTCAGATAATTCGAATTCGATGTCTGAATGCGTATCTGATTCGAGCTCGGAATCCGTGGGTTATGTCGAGCATTTAAACGACTTCGCATATGGCGATGAACCGCTCGCAGGAGATGGTGATGAAGTGCATACTCCAGATGATCCCGATGGAATTCTCCCTGCGACATTAGAACAACGAAGTGATGGCGTAATTCCACTCGGTGAATGGTAAGTTGTTGTTTTCTCCTGTTTGTAATATACATAAGGTTACTTTATAAACCACAATGCTCCCACGTTTCAGGAGTAATTGTCAATGCTGTCATACCGATTAGTTAGAAGGCGCATTAGAGTACAGATGCTGTAAGGAAATAGGACCAGCTTTGCAGAAAATGACATTCGATGGCAGCATTGAGAAAATATCATGCATAACACCGCATGCCAAATTTGGGCCTTTAGTTCATGAGGCTGTCCTTGAAAACGTCGGGCCACTATTGAGAGATAGGAATGGACGTGCTTATCGCCGCCAAGCATCACAATCATTAAATATGTAAGATTGTAAATTGTATGAGAAACAATGTTATCATCAACATTGTTTCATCAACAATAATTAGTCCAACCTTTTTATTTACTTCAGCTACTTGAGAGCTGTGGCATACAGATGGTTGATGCGATGGTTTTGTGGGTCTATGGGATGGGAGAATACTCGGCCTTTACCTGCTTGTGTTTATCACTTTATTCGGAAAGCATATCCAAGTGGTAACACAAAAGGTTACATACCATCAGAGGGGCGATGATGGAATAGTCTTTTAACTTGTGCACTGTAGAGACTGTTGACCTTCTTTGCTGAGTTTGGAATGGTCAGGAAATATGCCTAGATGAAAACCAAATAGGAGATACATGGATGCACAATATAAGTTGACAAGCAGTTTAATGGTTTGAAACAAGAGCAAACAATAAAAACAAATTGGTGCAACTAGTGAGAGGTTAAGCTGAAAGAATTAAATGAAAGAAAATCTTTTCTTCAATGTCAGTCTGGGAAAAAAGACAAAAGAAAAAATATATGGAATTAAATCATAGCATAAATGTAAGAATGGAAAATAGCAAGCCGTTCAAATGGCGAATCGTTTGCTTCCCAAGTGTATACTTCAACATGCTCAGCTCCATCACTAGTAGATGATACTTCCTCATTGAGAGAACATGTTTCCTTCAGCGATGGCTTATGTAGAGTATGTCGAATAATCTACAAAACTTATATCGAATTTACATATGACAAAAGAAAAATTAACATAAACAAGCGTAAACTTACTTGTCTTCGCTTTCGATCGGTTATTTCGTCCTGTAATGGTTCAGGAATCCCAGCCACATCAATGGTTGGAATAGCATCTTTCTTCAACCTTCTTTTGAGCTTGACTTGGACGCTCAAATTAAGGTCAAAACAAGAATCTTCAAAATGCGCAGAACACAGACACGAGGTAGAGGAAGCCTCAAAACCCGGTCTATGTTTACGCACAAAATTTACCAATTTTCTATGTCTTTGCGGCTCTGTTTCCTTTTTAGGAAAGAGATGCATCGACATTCCTTCGGTTTTTGAATCATTGGCGCAACTAATTTGATTAGGTCCGCCAGCAACACAGCGTTTTCCTCGGCGTTTCTTATTAAGATTACTAGTAGAATACGCCATGTTCATATATGTGTTCAACTTTCTACGTCACAGGTCATTTGCATACCGATCAAAAAGTTCGCAAAAAAATGCTGAAAATCGTGACTTTGAACGTCCGTAAAATCACTTTCACCAATCCAATTTCAATTATAATTGCAGATTTAAAATCACTGAAACAAGGTGTTTCAATTTAGACTGGATATAGCTTCTACAGGTAGCAAAAGTGAAGCCTAATTATATATGCAAAATTCACTTCCGGGTACCACGGCGAGATACAAATTACTATAGAAATGTATGGCGGATAACGTTTACAAACATGGATTTTCAAATATTTAAGACCTTTCGCGACTCCTTACTAACCTCAAGTATTAGTCATGGATAAAACAGGTTATGCGAATCGATTTGACATCAAAATGATTCCTATAGCTGTAAAATATCGACGTTAGTGTTGATTTAAAAGTTGTACATGCGAGAATGTATTTTGTCCCATCGTTGCCAATGTAAGATAGTTCACTGCTCGCTTTCCAATTTCTGAGGCATTTATGATCTAGTATACGTTTCAGTTCTTTAGAAATGAGGTGAGTTACTTTTTTTATCATTCTTTCTTTATGTTGAGAGATTGTTGACATTTTATTTTTGCTGTAACTTCATTTTTTCATGAGCAAAGTACTACTGATGCTTAAACAAGACAAGTCTATTTAGTTTCTTTCGCACTTTATCTTTAGTTTCCATTTCTGTGGTTGTTTTTCCCAAATGGTATACTCGCACGTTGCGCTTAATTATTTAAAGAAGTATGATTTTCATTGACATTAAAATCTAACAAATGCGTTCTAGACACATTAGGACACTTTAGTAAACTGCTTTTGAAACATCAAGGTAATGTAGCCAGCCAAGTATGAATTTGCAGGCCCTTTACGAGTGCAAAAGCTGGGTGCATTGTTTAATCTTTATAATCATCTTGGTTTTGGTTTGTCCCTTAAGCAGATTTAAATTATTAACAGCAACATAAGACTGTGTCCACAGTTTATAATTATAAGAGTATCCAATTGTATCCAGTATATCAGTTTCACATTGTCTTGTGCTAATTCCTTTACAGCCATAAATACTGCTTCTCAGCAACAGTTTATTGTTTACAGCTGTAAATTGGTCAACTGTTCGATTATTAAAGTCACACTTCACAAGTGGAATAAAGCTCTTGTCTTTCTTATTACTACAAGACTCAAGACTGATGATCAAACTTTTGCTGAAAAGGATTCTAATGTCAACTGCAATTCATATTTATACCATTCCTAACTACATTCATATCTTAAGAATAATTTTAATCTTTTTGGAAAAATATTTAAGGCATTAATATTACATTCATACTGACTATGATCTTCTGGAATTTGCTTAGCACTTAGAAGAGGAAAATGAAATTTACTGAATGTAAAAAGGCAGTAATATCGTACATGGCTGGCTATATTGCCCAGATGGTGCAAAACAAAATAAACTGTCCTATTTGTCATGAAGCAGTCGGTTCAAGAAGCCATAAAAATGAGTCTGCTTTTCTGACTTTAAAATACAGGGGTAAATTTTTTAAGCCAACAGCAAGTCTTATAGTAATATGCAATGAAACAGAGAGGTGCTTTCAGAGAATGTGGGCAGCTACGAATGGAAATTTACCGCAAGGGAAAGGAATTCCTGATGGTATTGCTGTTTAAGTAGTACTTTGCTCATGAAAAAATGAAGTTACTGCAAAAATAAAATGTCAACAATCTCTCAACATAAAGAAAGAATGATAAAAAAAGTAACTCACCTCATTTCTAAAGAACCGAAACGTATACTAGATCATAAATGCCTCAGAAATTGGAAAGCGAGCAGTGAACTATCTTGCATTGGCAACGATGGGACAAAATACATTCTCGCATGTACAACTTTTAAATCAACACTAACGTCGATATTTTACAGCTATAGGAATCATTTTGATGTCAAATCGATTCGCATAACCTGTTTTATCCATGACTAATACTTGAGGTTAGTAAGGAGTCGCGAAAGGTCTTAAATATTCGAAAATCCATGTTTGTATACGTTATCCGCCATACATTTCTATAGTAATTTGTATCTCGCCGTGGTACCCGGAAGTGAATTTTGCATATATAATTAGGCTTCACTTTTGCTACCTGTAGAAGCTATATCCAGTCTATTTCAGATCAGTGTATACGATGCACCAGTATTAAACGCAGTCGCTATAAAGGGGAAAATATACTACCAAAACATTATGTTCTCTGTTGTTAGCATAACTTGAATCTCGAGTTTACAAGATGTTTATGGAGCATATTTTCTATTATGGCAACTAGCTTCCTCATCAACGATAAGGCCCAATGATAACAACAGAACATTGAAGTTTAACATTATGTGCCGTGCAGTGACCTTCTCAGCCAGCAAGTTTGTTCATTTGGGTGTCAAACTTCTCTGTTTATTTTTAAAATATCATAATATACCAGGGGGCGTCCCGAAAAAACGGAACCCGCACTAAATTATGTATTCGCTGGATTTATTATGCACAGTAATGGCACAGAATAATGATTATACAGAAGGGTCACTCAGATGTACAACGCGTCCTCATGTCGGCCATTATTCCAGCCAAATGATAAGGATTTCTCACTTGTTTCCAACCATTAAAATCACATGACGTCAATACTTAATAATGAATTCAAGTATATTTTGACTTAAAATCAAAAAAGTCAAAAACGCTGGGAAAAAGTCAAAAACCCTAATCATCTGGCTGGAATAATGGCGGCCACCATGCGCGGCACGACATGCGCGAGGACAAAAACGTCAAAGGTTCCGACACAAGTGACTCTTCTGTATATTCTTGTTCTGTGGTAATGGATTAGCGTTCAGAAGAGGTTATAAAACAATTGACAATTATGCGCCTCTAGGATTTCATACGGTTTGTAAAGCAAAACGAGTTATTTAATTTCATGGTTAAACCAAAATAAGTTAGAGTACTGTCATACACAGATTTCATCTCAAATTTTATACGCAAAAGCTTTGTAAAATCAAAGCAACATTAATTTAATTGAGTTATAACAGCCACAAAAACGCATTCATGATTTCCATAACAAATAGCTACTGCCCACTAAATTATTTTACGCAGATTTTAATTTTATGCAACATAATTGTTTGTATAGGTTCCGTTATTTTAGGACACGTTGTTTATGCAATGCAAAGGGGAAAAAACTTGTACAACAACGGTGAGTTTGCCATGATATGTACCAGGGGCTTGGCAAGCCGTGGGTGTCCGGGTGCCAGCGCACCCACAACTTTAGAGTGTGGGTGTTCCATATTGGAAGGACACCCACAAATTTAGCTTCTGGCTTGAAAATATGTGATATATTGCATACTAAATTTTTGTAAGCACACTGAATTTTCAAATTAAGAACTGGCACCAGCAAGCAGGAAATTTCAAATGATTTGAGCATTGCCGATGTATGCAAATCATTTGTATGTAATTCATTTTGGATAATTTTTGTAATATATTCCGAAAAAGGAAGAAAAAACTGTCAAAAATAATTAATATGAAACAGTTTCATTACTATTCTAAGTTACTCGCATTGTCAAATTGTGAACATGAAACACCCACAACTTTTGAAATCTTCCAAAGCCTCTGATATGGACAATGCAAGAGCAACCAAAAAGATGTAGCTACAACACCAGCGAGTGTACAATGTGAAGTGACAGCAAGAAATGTTATTATTTCAATGCAGCACATACGCTTATAGCCATCATCTAACTCACCAGTCACAGGAGTTAGAATATCACAACTGCCGGAAGCATGCGTGCCACTCTACAAGATTTGCCATGAGGTGAATCAGCCATAATAGCAAAAATAAACTTTAGGACTGCTCGATCTTGCACATATTTACAGTTCAGAACACTTTAAAGCATTCACAATCAAAAGACATTTATTATGGTATTTGGAGATTGTAAGTAAGCGGCTTTAAATTATTTCGGTGTCATGCACTAGTGCTATACAACACTACATAATTCACAAAATAATATTGGCACTTACCACCGAATCACCACTGAATTACTTTTATCTACTCATGTAGTATATGCCTTGAAATTGCGTTACACTGAATAATGCAACAATAGTCACACTGAAGAAATGGCAAATACTTTAAACAGCTGGCAAATATAAAAGCCGATAAAAACGAGTTTGGCCAATCGGTGAAATTGCTGTAGCACTGTGATCATGATCATATTTCATTCTATCTGTGATAGACGTATCGAACACGGTTCACAGGTTACAAAACAACAATATGCCTGACATTTTGAATAACTCTACTTTGAAATGCACTTTTGTTTCTGTCTGTGTTTGTCAGCGTTTCACATCAACAAGCTGAAACAATAAAATCATATGTGTGATGCAACTTCAAAACCGATAAATGTATCGAATGATTTTACACCGCAGTCTTTACGCTCGGTGTACATAGCTAGCTTTCTGCTAAAGCTTTTCTTTTTCTCGTCAATGTTTTGCTATGTTTCTCGATTCCTGAACTCGAATTTAAAATATGTATATTTTACGAGGGTTCGGTTCTCAGTTGCTTTTTGAGATATAAATGACAACAACTGATTCGACTTGCAATCATGCTTCACAGCATGAGGAAATTCTGAAAATGTGGATTTCGTTCGTGTCAGTTTGTACAACCTACTTTCGCAAAATGTGTCACTCAGGAAGCATGATCAAAGTTCTCCCAACATTGTACAACCTGACACGAGCAGGTCTAACGTGGAGTAGGGTTTCCATACCAGCTAGGCAAGCGACACAATGCTACACTGTAAAAGTAGATTCATAGTCTATTGTTTTGTTATCATAGGTGCACGAAACTGGGTTGCTGGCTGGGTGTACACTAGCACCCCGATTTTGAGCTAAAAAAGTAACGTCGACAGTTTCTACTCATCATTGTTACACTAAAAATCCATTACCAGCAGACAATTTTATGTAGTACAAAATGAAGTATACTTCGAATAAAAAGTTCATGTTTAACTCAATATTTGAGAAGGAAACCAGAAAATTTTATTTCAACATTATATTTCGAATTTTTTAAAAATTCATCATCAGACTGTATGTTTTACACTCAAACAATGAAAAACGTTTGCCTTTATTCCAAAACCAATCTGGGTTAAAATTACTTGTAAATGGTGTTCTTTTTTAATCATTTCCCTGTCACATATTTGATCACTGTGTAAAAATGTTTCTTGACAAAGTCTTTCAACCCAAACCACCTGTTCATACCGTACCCAAGAAAATACTGTATTTCGGCCTTCCATTTACTGGTCTACACTCATCCCACATGTGCACACAAATCAATCGCCTTTGTCGTGCCGCTTTTCCACACTGTGAAATACGATTCTTCTTTCGATCCACCAAACGCCTCTCCAGCCTGTTTTCTTTCAAGGACAAAGTGCCCAAAACTCTGAAATCGAATGTTGTCTATTCTTTTAAGTGTCGATGCTGCTCCGCATCGTACGTGGGTCAAACCACCCGCCATCTACACACTCGAATTTCAGAACATTTGGGCATCACCCCTTTGACTGGTAAACCTTCTAAACATCCCTGTCATTCCTCCATACTATCACACCTTAAATCCACAGGACACACCGCCACCTTCGAGGATTTTAAAATACTTTCTTCATGCTCAGACTCACAAGAACTTCTTATTCACGAAAGCCTCTTAATCAACAAAATGAAACCATCTCTTAACGTCCAAGGAAACTCCATTGTCCTTTAGTTGCTTTAATCTAATTTCGTCCGTCCTCACGTCTGTGTACTTTATGATTGTTTGTGTTTTGTTTGTTTTTTGTTTCTTTTGTGTTTCTACTTATCCCAAGTCATACCATGTTATCCAATATTTACTAACACGTTTTCATCCCACCATGTAATTTAATATTATGTAAATAGCTATTATATATATATCCCTCTATACTTGTAATTCAATATTGTCTGATGATGACTTGAGAGTCAAGACGAAACGTTACACTTTTAAATAAATATTTCTTTTTATGCATTAAAGGGGAACTCCACCCAAAAATAATGTTGGTCTTAAAACTTTGTCTGTCCCGTGAAAATAAATATGCGGCAATTTTTTTGTTTATTTGATTCAATATTTTCACAAAAAATGAGTTGAAATGCTGCAGCTAGGGCATCCGGTGCGTGGGAGCAGAAATATGTCAGCGGCTTGTATTGACGTCATATCGTCAATTGCTTCTCAAAGCTTTATGTAAAGTCATTGCACAGTCATAATAAACTTGCGTCAAAATGCTTCTCCTAATCACAAAATGTTTCTTTTCGAAACGTCAGAATTTTTTATTCGTAGGTATATACACAAGCAACCTTTATAGCTTACATGCAAGTATTGAGCTGGTTATTTGTATTCTGTTTTAATAGAACGGTTTCACATAAAGGCCATTACGCACAGTTTCCGCACTACATATAGAACTTGAATGTCGATTAATATTATTTTTAAAAATACGAAGGTTTCTTTGTGTGGAAACTGTGCGTAATGCCGTTTGCTTGTCCTCCGAATTCAACCTTAACAACAGTTTCCACTGATGTGAAACCAATCTATTGCCCTTAATAAACATTGAATAATAATAAACATGGTTGTGTAACTCATTACGGTTAGAAAATAATCCTACATGAAACCATTGTAAAAATAGCCTTTCGTGGATAGAATTAAGTTGTAGTTTCCTTGACGTAAAGTATGAACTTATAGTTTCCTAATTATTGTACATAATTGTATAATAATGGATTGCTAGAATACGGAGAGAAAATCTACCTCCTCTCCAATACTGTTACGTTTGCAGCGAGCACTTTGCTCCCGATTGTTTTGAATCGGACCTAAGACAGAAACTTACACCATGGCAACCTTTAAAAAGGCGACTGAAACCGGATGCAGTACCATCGATTTTTTCATTTGGCCCTCAACCCAGTAAAAAGCGTCTGTCTAGGGAGCATCGTACAGAAAAACGTCAGACTGATCAAGACAAGGAGGAAGTTAGTAAAAGCATTTCTTGTTAAATTTTAATCAAGAAAAAGTTATAGCCTAAAGTATATTCTAAATATTTCTATTTTTTCTATTTTCAGCTTTCAAATATTTTAGAACAATGTTCCTCCACAAGTACAAATGTTTTCTCATTGTTTGAGCCTGAAGCAAATAACAGTTGTGATTTGGGTGCGTCTGACAGTCCTGAAGCATTGCCAACTAATTATTGCAAGCCAGAAACCAAAGATGCATCAACACAGTGTTCATTTGTTGTGAGGAGTTTACATGCCATGGAAGTCCAAACTACACTGTCGATGCTGAATACTGTGGATGCAGAGGTTGAAAAACAAACACCCTTATATTGATCACCAATATGATGTGTGGCATTTGTCTAAATCTGTCACAAAAAAACTAACAAAGAAGGCTAACATTAAGGGAAATGATGACTTGACCCATTGGATTAAGTCCATTTCTAATCATCTTTGGTGGTGCTCTGCAAGTTGTAACAAGAATGCAGAAGAATTGGTGGGAAAATGGAAGTCTGTCCTTAACCACATTTCCAACAAGCATTTCTGGAAGGGGAACACATATTTTCATCAATGTTGCCACCAACAATTAACAGAAAAAGAAACAAAGCAGAAGAAATGGTTATCTCCTACTTCACAAGCATATATCGCTGCAGAGAAGGTGATATGTGACAAGAGGCTTCTAAAAGACCTGCCCAAAGCGAGAGCATTTTTCATTTCCTGGAATGGTAGCCCGCACTCAGTTAGCAGCATTAGATCACAACAACAATATTAAACATGATAAAGCATTCATTAAGTCAGGGACAAACAAAGGGCAAGACTGTTACAAAATGTTTTTTGCTAAAACACAGAAGCAATGGGTTGTAAAAGCAATGAAAGAAAAGAAAGAGTACCAGTACATTGATAAACTACTTGCGGAGGTTGTGAATGCATGCAAAACTGAGGAGATTGAACTTGTACATCATGGCAAGAATCTTCCAAAGAACATTTCTAAATCATGTCCACCCAGGAAAGAAGTACTTGTAAAGGAACATCAGTCTAGATTTGCATAAAATATCAGTGGTGATGTTAGCTATGGCAATAGGTTTTGCCATACCCATATAATATGACGTTGAATCAGTGAAGACAACTTTTGTACTACTTAAAAAATGTTCATTCTTAAATATTAACATAGCAAAACCTTTTGCTATAGCTAGTTTCACCACTGCATTACTGCATTACACAAACTATTCATGTAATTAATTATAGTTATATTATAACCAGTGTAATAGCCAAGCCACATTTATAATCATTTCTTTGTAAATCTGTTTTTTTTGTAATAAATTAATAATAATAAATGTGCATAGCATGACCTATAAATGAGCTGGCTATGCCACTTTAATATTGACATACAAAGTAATTGTAATGAGTATACCTATATCATAATAAAATACTTCATTCATCAACATAGTGAAAGCCCTCAAATTGAAATTCCTCTGCAAGGCCAGGTGGAGGAAATGTTTCTCTAATGCGAGTAACTGCACATGATGGCAAGATGACTCTCACTTCTCTACCCAAGACACCCCAGCACCATATTGCCAACTGTCTATATGCAATATGGCGGTACAGTTTGTCCTCGGGCCCATCATATGCTACCTCATATTGCTGCTTTTACTGGTACCAAACTGTTTGTAAAACCCACCTGTTAAGACAAACAGGCTCAAAACCAGGATGTGTGTAATGCACAAAGGGACTTCGGTGGTCTCATTCGTTTCTACTGCCTCTAAATTTTTGTCACAAATATTGGAAATCTCTTTGCAGCATAAACATTTCTCGTTATTATCCATTATTTGGCAGTTACCACATTGACACCTGAATATGTTAAAAGAAAGGATCTTGAAAAGTAAATGTCAAAACTTCAATAAAAATTGTATCTTACAATAAAAACTTTAAAATCTAAAGTATTATGTGTGTGTGGACGTGGTCAACTTCAAAAACTGAAAACGTACTTTTAAGGTAGAAACATTGGTCTAGAATAATATAACATTTTACTACCCACCATTCAAGATTGTCGCGCCGAGATTCATCGTCAATATACAAAATTCCTGTTCGTTATCCTCAAACTGGTGAGCTTCTTCGTGTTCATCAGCCGGCCATTCGGGCTCAAACTGATATGGCCGAATATTGTTTGTTGGATTGTCTTCCACCTCACTATCGATTGGTGAATTAGGCCGAGGTTCTTCCAAAAAAGCAATTATAAGCGATTGTTTTG